GATTTCATCGACTTTCTTATCCCATTGCATCGAAGACGGCGTACGGTGACGTACAAACATTTCACCTGGATCGAATAAATGCGTTCTCACTCTTTAGTGCTGTTAATGTTACGGCAGCGTAGCAAGATTGTTTCACCTTGTTGCGAGGCCTGCCTTGTGGTCATCCTCCCATCTCTCCATCATTTTCTGCAATGGGCGGAGGGCTGTCGTTCATTTTCTGCAATGGCCCCACCTTCTTGAACATCTTGTTTGGAGGTTGTTGGTTGCATTAGTTCAATATTCTAATATTTTCTTGCAACAGCATTTGACATCAGCATGACATCTGACTTCCCTTCTATTCTTGACCTTAAAGTCTTCATTTCCGTCAATTCCTGTTTTCTGTTTTCAGTTCAAGTACTTCCGTCTCAAGCCATCAAACAAGGTGTTCAGAGTGCAAGGCATGTATATCTGCAGTTTAGTGCTAGTAGTAGCATATTTGTCTTCCCAGAGCTCAAATTGCTAATTAACGCCTTTCGCTGTCGATGCCAACTTCGTTTGCCACTCTTCCGTCTGCAGACGACGTACTCGCATGATACAGGTGTGGCACCTTTTCTACAGGTGTAGTTTACACCTTGGTGTCAAGGGGCAGACGGTATTTGGTGTGATTCTCCCAATTTTAATCAACTTCGTCTTCTATAAGTTAATCTAGAGACCCAGATCAGAACATCTCTGTCTCAGAGTTTGGAACAGAAACAGCTGGACTCTGCGTGCAAGCAATACGGTATCAATGGCAAATGCAAATGAGGCTACGCAGATGTTGCCCACTCTTGCCATCGTGGTTTCATTCTTTCGCACTGGTTTGTGCACCGAGCCAGGAAGCATCACAAGCAGCAGAGAAAATTTCCCTCCTTTCCCTGCCTTACTCTGAACTGTTAGGCAAGAACCTGATCAACTGCTATCAATTCGTGCTGCACTTGACGAACGATCATGCACGTTTTTGATTATGCGAATAGTCTTTGGTTGGATTCCATGTCGTTCGCCAACTTGCAACAAGGAATCTCTTCAGATTAAGTCAACAGCTTTGGTGAAATCAATAAAAGTTGCTAAGAATTTAAATACCCATTCTCCCTTCTCTTCCATTAGTTGTCTCATTATGAATACCTGCTCCAGATGACTTTTTGCGGTCCTGAAACTGGATTTCTAATCATCCAGGGTTTCCTCAATATACCGTTTAATCCAGTTCACGATTACACATATAAATGCTGCAGCAGGAACGATAATAGAGTTATTCTCGGCAATTATTTGCATTTGTGCAACAGCTATTTTGAACAATGGGACTACAGTATCTTTCATCTAGCCATTCACTGTCTACTCCTTCTGATAGTCCCATTGAAAGAGACTCAGTAATGCAAGATTCCATAATACGCTCTAGTTGCATTTCTCCATTCTTGCAGCTCTGCCACTTTTTAAATGGCTTCAGTCACTTTTTCAAAGGTCGGCGATTCAGTGTCAACATTCAACGTTTTCCAGGCATAATATACAGTGAATCTTGTTCCACAATTACGTCACGGTGTAGTAGCCTCAAGGTGTTTCCCGCGTACGACAGCGACTTCAGTACGATCGAACGTGACATTGTCATCCTCCTTCAAGTGGATATTAATTGAGACTTCTCTTTGTCGAGGTATCAGTTATTCTCCTAAATAACGTTTTCATATTGTTGCTTCGAGCTGCATCTTCCAGAAAAGTGTTTTGCCACTCTCTGCTGATTTTTTTTAAAGATATCGTCTGTACTTCCTTTTTCTTTCTCACAAAGATTAACGTGTTATCAGTCTTCGCCGTTCTGCTCTTTTCTTGCAATCATTTAGTTTCCAAACTTATCCACCGTTTCCTTCGTCTTTTTTACGTCCCAATTGCTACTCTGCCGCTGCAACTATTGCTTCTTTCACTGTGCTTCAAGTTTTCTATGACGATATGTCACCTGTATAATCAATAAATTATTCGAACCTTCCACTGATCGTGAGCTCATATGCTTGAGTTACTTGCGGATATTTCGGTTTGTCGGCTTCAAGCTTTGAGCTACACTTTTGGCGGATAATCAAGGATCAGAGCTTGACTAACTTTTGCCTACACCATCTTCATGGCTCTGTCATATTCAACATTATTGCATACTTTGACATATCCTAGGCATTCTGGTGACTTCTGGTGATGAGAACATAGTAAATAGAGCATGTGTTTATTGATCATGGGACTGCTACGTGATCGTATGAGCTGATTTGTGAAGAAATTTTGTGCCACCAACAGTCATCTTGCATTTAACGCAGTTCTGTTGATATCATTCATGATTCATCTGATACTGCTATCATTCATCTTGTCTACGTCATGTTATCTCTGACATCTACACGGCTCATTTTGTGTTTCCACTTTCCAGCGAAATCGCCGAGGACAATCAAGATATCACAAATTCGCCACTGCTGCAGCAACAGGATCAACGTACTACAAATTCCACCCTTTCTGCCTTTGTCGTAGCTTCGACAAAGGCATAAAAGCGAACTACCGTGATTACGAAATTTTTAGTATCTTGACTTGAAACTCATTCTGTCAGACACCATGTTCCAATGTAATAGAGATTATTTTGTCTTTCTACTGACTGCCAATGTAACACAACCTTTTCCAGCAGCGCCTTCTGCTATATTCCATGTGCAGTAGAAACAGTTTCCTATTGTTTCCATCAATCACAATGCTTGTTCAAAACCGAAACATCTCTTGAATTGCAACTATTTGTAGTTCCAAGCGGACGCAGCTCTTCTAGAAAAAAATATGTGTAGGTCTGCCTAACGTTTGCACATTCCCGCAAGAATATGCGTTCGACATTTAAGACTCGAGGTATTCTTCACTGTTCTGCAGTTTTTCTATTTCCATACTCCTAGCCAGTGAGAGCTGCGGGTTCGTTAACCAATAAAATCTAATTGAAGTGCTAAATTCTGTGCGATTTCTGTAATCAGAAATAAATCCGCTGAGTGGATGATTAGCCCGGAATAGCTTCACAATATCATTGTTAACCATCTATTTAAGAGATCGTGACAGATCTTCATGGCAACGGTAGCGACTGAGAGACTGCCCTCTATTGTACTTCGCCTTGACAAGCGTTCCTTTACTTTGGAATTTGCGCGGTTCTTGCAACTATAAGTGTAGGTGGAATTTTGAGAACCAACCATTTTCGAACATCTAGAGATGTTCTTCACCGATTTCATAAATTTAACCTATTTCTACAGTAAATATTTATGTCTTAAAGCCAATTTAGGATAAGGTTTTAGAAATAGACTTAAAAACATTAGCTTGTTGACCGGTGTGCTTCTGATAGACCAATGATGCAATAGCACACCTCGTGGCTTATGAGAAGCATTTGCATTTCGCTGCGTTCGTCGAAAACTTCTGAATAGTAGGTGTGCAGGACATGGAGACAGAAGGGAACGTCTGCGAGAAAGGTCGACCATATCCGCTTATTTTTTTAAACGTTCACAGAAACAGTGGTGGTTGTTTTCACAGAGAAATATCAAAATAGTGAAATAAAATATTCGAACGCTTTGTCAACGATGTAGCAATGAAGATACAAGTCAAACTACGATCATTGATTCGATTTTCCAAATCTCAAATTATCTTGTTCACTTTATTGCGTTCGAATGAATCGGCAGGACTGAAAAGTGGAAAAATGTGATTCGAAAGAATGGCTCTAACGACTTCTGCAATAGCAACATGAAGTTACTGTAACTTTTTTACACAACCGACTGTCTGTTATAAGCATATACTTCGAACATCAAGACGTGCATGAATATATCTGGAATATGGAAGCTTGTGCACAGAACGGGCTGACCGATTTGATAATCGTATTGTCTGACTAACGACGCTCAGTAATGGATGTTCGCGTTAAGAGAGGCGTAGAGCTGTCAACCGATCACCACCTCGCCTTTGGCGCACCACGCTGGGAGAAATGAAATGAGACGCGACCGTTTGGTGGCAGAAGCAATCAGAGAATCAAGGGAAATATTATCCGCGGTGGACATGACACGAAACTTGCCTACAGCATCGCACGACGGCTTGAACAGATCCAGGTGAATACCGTTGAAGTGGAAACCGAGTGGGAGCTTCTTAAGAGCGGCATACTCGAGACTTCAGCCGAACGCTGCAGATTCTGGCTGCTGCCTGGCGGTCAGAAACGAACTTCCTAATGGACACGAGAGGTTCAACTGGCTGTCAGCGATAAGGCTGAGTTGAGAAGGTTGCATGGAAGTAAAGAGGGTTCAACTGAAATGCAATATGAATACGCGCACCGGTAGGCGGCAAAAGCACTGGTTGAAGCAAATGCTGATTCTTGAGAAAAGCGCGTTGAGGGCAGGAGTCGAACTTCTAGATGACAAACACGGTGTTCTGGTAGACTCTCGGCCGTCTCCAAGGTGGAAATAAGGTTACTCTGAAATATCTGAAGAACATGTCCTCACGCTTTTTTACCAAGAAAGAGAATATACCTGAGCGATGGAAAGAGTACCCGGAGGAACTTCATAACCATGAATAACCGCAGGAAGACTTGCCTGAAAAACGGCA